GGGAAGCACCGAGAGCCAAGACCGGAAATAGAGGGGAGACGGGAAGCGAAAGAGACTATAGGTGAGGAAACGGATTTTCCTTATTCATCCCCCCCGTGGACCCCCACGCCCTCCAGGCCCACAAGCCTTCACTGAATATATTGAGCCGTCGATTCGCCGATTCTGGCATCGGTTCGTTGACGTAGCGCAAGGGAGCGCCCCCGCATTGCGGGCTTTTCATCCTCGTACACCGGAGGGCGTCGCGACGCCAAATCGCTTGCACCCCCCTCCCCTACTCAACACCCACGCGTCATCCCAGAAACTCCATAAGCTTCAAACTTCGCTGGTTCTTTTACTTCTCTGAAAGAGGGAGCTCGCTAACCGGAAGTGCTATCGATATCGGTACCGCTACTTCAAAACTGCACGGAACTTCCGGTTCGGTCAATTTAGCTGCATCGGCGATCACAACGAACGTACCGGGCGTCGATTTATTTACAGGGGTGTCGTGCAATGACGAATCCGCAAACTTTGAGTACGTTATTTGTGATTTGGATAATTTTTTAGATTTTTTTTTCTTTTTTTTCTGGAAACTCACAGGATCCATTCGACGTTGTAACGTTGCAGCCACGAATTACAGGAACAGTCAGAGTTACCGACGGAGCAACCTTAGCAATGTACTACCTATAGGTTCATCCAATTCCCAGCCAATCTAAAATCAATCTTAGTTCGTTTCTCCGTCGATGAGGACTTGGACGGAAGTGTGGGAGTAAGGGGGGAGTAGCGGGAGGGTAGGAAAACCCTCTCTGATTCCGAGTGGCAAAGCGATGCTGAAGTCCGATCGGTTTTAAGCAGACCTGCAAGTCTGCATTATTCAAACGCCGTTCCGCGTTCCCTTGTGGCGACGCTTGCCTTCTTCTCTCGTCTCTGAGTGCCAGTCGGAACTGTTTCTTTCTCTTTCTCCCTTTTACTTACACTTCTCTCTCTCTCTCTCTCTCGCTTCGACAGAAAATCATAGGGTGGGACTTCAATCCCTGGCTTCACGGAATTAAGTATTATCGGTTTTATTCAGATTAAGCAATTCTTAGTCGACCCTTTCGCGATGTTGGGATATTTATTCGGTGAAAAATTAAAAAAAAAATTCATACGATTTTTTCAAAAAAAAAAAAAAAAAATAGTCACCCTC